TATTAATTTATCAGTTTTTGAATATTTAAAAGAAACTTTCCATTAAACTTTCTTTTTTTGGCATAATTATTATTTTTATGTCCGAATACGTGGTAACCTAAAATTCAATACATTGTTTTATCTGATTAATATCACAGATGACAATGTTATTAAATGTTAATTTTTTGATTGCAATTATATATATGACAATAAGAGAAAAATGATGATATTTTATTAGCTGTTTTCATTGATGCCACAAAGAATTAGGTCCTTTAAATGTCATTCACGTACCAAACGTGCAAAATATATAATAAATAAACGCGGGAAAGAGCACTCTTATTATAAATAATTCCGCATTCATAAAAAGGTTGACCAAATGATTAATAGTTCTGGATCAGACCCGGGTACTAGTCTTATGTTAGTCCAATCAACTCAAGGTCGAACCTATCCACGAATTCTAATATAATATAATATAAAATAAGTGTACCTAGCAGAAAAATATATGTTTATTTACGTTTTTTATTCTAGTAAATATTTAGTTTCAACACAATTAGTATTTTAAAATTTCTTTACAAATTTCTTAGGTTCTCCATATATTTGATTTTATATTGCTAACTCGTCATTTTTAACTTTTTCGCATTAGTAACGATAATTTTAAAATTCCTCGATTATTAAAAACTTCATTCATCAAAAAATCATAAGACATATTTTTGCAAAGCGTTAATGCAAAATTTTTATATATCTTTTTATATATTAGTACGTTCGTTATTTCAAATATAAGTGTCTAATAGTGACTATTTGCCATTTGGAAAGTTTAAATTCCGAATGACAAAACAAGGATATTAATTTAAAAATTAGAAAAATCAGAAAAGAATATACCATCAGAAAACAAGTTAACTTGAAATAGAAATTGACTATGCGTCTAATAATATCTAATTGTAAGTCATAAAAGAATAGGAAACTAAACATTTTCGTACCTTAAAACCTATCAATAGATATCTTAGTAATAGATAATGAAAAATAGTAGATCAACATGTCAAGTTCAAAACTTATACAACCTTTTGGAATAATATTGACGAACCTAAAGAAAACGATATACTAGAAAGTCCTAAAACTCAGTGAAAAATTCCTCAAATATATTAAGTGGCCTAATCAAAAATATTTTGAAAATTCTGAAAAAAATAAAAAATAAAAATTTCATTTAAAAAAAAATTTTTAAAATCATGTAAAGGTCCAGACTAACAGCTCGGAAATTTATAATAATGCATTGAAGTTAGAATTTTAAAAGTGAAGAACGCAAACTTTTATACATAAATGTTAAAGTTAAATCAATATTACAAGGTAATGTTGTATCTTCAGCTTCGAACAGAAACAGTTACTGAAAATTTAAATTTCTAACTCAAATTATTACTATGAACAACATTACAAGAAAACAATTTTGTAAAAATACAATGATCCATATCCAAGTTATTAGTTTTCTGAAAATTCAGAAAATAACAAATCTTATTATGCGAAATTACAAACTAATATCAGACATTAAAAATAAATAAATATTTTATTATAATTAATTTTTAAAATATTAAATGTGTTTGAATAATGACTACGCTTCTTGAGCAAACTACATTTTGAAACCAGCAATCACAATAAATTATTACAATGATGGAACTAATACATGTGCTAAACATTAATAATAAATAATTATAGCTACTAAACTTATAATATTGCAATTTAGGGCACAAACGCGTAGTATTAAAGATTAGAAGAAATTATAGTATGTTTAAATTCTAATAAAACCGACGTAATAATTATGACATCTCACTAAAATAAACAATATTAAATCCCCTTTTTTAGTGTCTATGATTTAAAACATATATTTGGTAGATCCCGTGATTGATTAAATATAATTATCATACAAAACATCGATCACTTTTTAACAACAATATCAATGATACACATATACAAGCTACAGCTGTCCATCATTAATACCTCTCATTGCAGCATCATGTTAACTGCTACCGACTGTTCTCCAAAGTATAAAATTTTATTAGAATAGTTTATAAAGTTTCTTCAGTCTCTGGAAATAAAATTTTTTTCAGATAAAGATTTTAGAAACTATGAAGAGTACTGTTCCAAAAATATCCTTAAATAATGAAACTATACCTTAGAGGAAAATAGCAAAATATTTAAATATACGTGTAGGCTCATGCTTAATATGAAAACATCACATAAGATGCAAAATAAATAAAATTTGTATTAAAAACAAAAACATGGCACGAAACTTGAAACTGAATATAGAATCAAGCTTTTAATAAATAAAGCAATAAAAAATCTATCTTGACACATGAAATTACACAAGCAGCTAAAAGTCACATAACTAAAGTAGAATCGATACAATCTATTATACTGAAAATTAAAGTTAATTAAAACTGTGGAATATCTGTAATGATAAAATGCACAAAGATCTAAAAATGAAATTCGTGACAGAAGAAATAGCAAGCTAGTATGAAAACTACAAGTCAAGATGAGACAACCATCTTAGTAACCTTGCAAAAAATCTGTACGCTGATGATTGCACAAAAAACTTTTCAACCATCTGATATGTCAACAACTTCTGTTGTAACATTTTACATATGATTCATTAGCAGGAATACATTTGCGTGATGTACGTGCTCAACCTTGCAGATTTAATTCACCTAATGTTTTTACTGGACGAATTTTGATGTTTATCGGGAGAAAAAAAAATTATCTAATTATTTAGTCGTCATTCTGGTCAGGCAACGCAAACAAAACGGTATTATTGTGGATTTTTTTTCAATGAAAATTTAGGAATTAATTTTTAGAATTTTGTGGTGCTTTTTTATTACAATTAGAACTGATAAACAAAAATTTAAGGAGTGAACATTTTTAAAATAAAAATAGTTGCTCTTTAACATGATACCTAAGATTATAATAAACGCAAATGATAAATTGGAGAACATTCTTATTCTGTATAATTACTATTATGATTTAGACCCAAATAAACAATTACGTTAACACCTGAAAGAATAGTTTGTGTATAAAATTAAAGTATGCAAATTTGGAAATTAGCTATTTTGCTGTTATTTCTCATTTTTTTAAATTACTGATTATACAGCTATTAAAATAATTTTAGTTATTACTATAGCTAATTATTTATAGAGTCAGATATAAAAATATTAGTGTTTTCGATGTTTCCTTTTTTAATCATATTTTAAGAAAAGAGTATTCAAAGTTTACTATAAATTTCTAAATTATCGTAAATTCTTCCTACTGCAAATTATATGAAAGTAAAAATAATGTAAATAATAGTGTCTGAATTTCTGTATTACATTCCTAAGAGTAAGAAAAATCAA